AGTTTTTCTGTTTTGGTTGTATCTGATAGGAAAGACTGTAATCCTGAGCAAATGTGCATGAACTGCTCAGTGAACAACAGCTGCACGTGTGATCTAGAGATTGGATCCTGCCCTATGACAATGACTTCCTATTATTGTCTGGTTTCCTTCCTAATACACCAAAGTGATTAGTTGACTTAGATGATATTTTTTCCTTAAATCACACTGTGACATGGAGAGACTCCTTTTCTTATCTGCCTTAGCCACCACTGACAAAAGACAAAATATTCCTTGCAAATATATGAAAAGTGCTTCATGAAAAATGAGTATTGGGGGGAAAAAAGGAAACAGAAAAGGAAGGAAGCAATGCAAATTGAAGAAGGAAAATCCATTGGTATGTCTTAAAAAGCATGAACACTATCAGCTAAAATAAAATAGCAATTAGTAAGGGATTTAGATTCTGTACACGTGAGAAATAATACAACAACCTGCTAATTGGAGACAGTGCTATTCAAATGTTACTGATGAACAAAGACTGGTACATAATCATGTGATGGAGGGGGAGGGTTACAAGACATGTTTCAGTCTAGTAGACTAAGCCACAGCTGAGGAAAGGCTAAAACAATAACCATGCAAGCAAGCATTTATAAGCTACTGTCACGGTACAAAGAGGATAAGGAAGAACACGTTTGTTTACACAATGAGCCAAATTTTGTCTAAAGACAGACCTACCTTTCCATAAGAGAGTCATATACAGATATACATAGTATGGATATACGTATGTCCTATTAAAATATCATCATACTTTATAGTCTGTTTAGTAATAATTTTGACAATGTGAGCTGGAAGAACTTACATGCAGTTATTTCTTTTAAATACTATTTAAAATTTTAATTGTGATTATAGAAAACAAATGCTCAGATCTGACTTCTAGTGCCTGTGTTGCCATTAATAATCACTGGTTGTCCCCAAGAGACAGAAACAGCAAGAAACCTCACGTAACAGGGATGTTGTATAAAGAAATTCATTAATACTGTATTTGCAGAGCACTCAGATACCACAGTGAGAAACAGCACAGAAAAGCCTATGAGGAAATTAATCATTCTGCATTCAGTGCAGGATCTGGCAGATGTGCAATGAAGAAAGCCTAAAGACATACATTAAATATGAAGATAAAAAAAGATTCTAGCCATTACCAGCAGAAATAATATCCCCTGAATGAACATCAACTGCCTTAGGCATTAAATGTTTGATGTATTCTCATTCTATATAAAGAAAAACCTCTGATTAATATAGTAAGATTACAACAAGTACCAGCCAGGTATTCTGTACAAAATACAGAATCTGATAATGTAATTAAAGTCTATCATAAATATATGCTATGGGATCCGAATTCCTCATTTGCATGCTCAGTTTTGCAACTAAGTAGCACTCCCACAGTCCAGCAATTATTATCAAATGTACATTATCTCAGCAGTCAGAGAATCCTGTTACCACAGCTGACACAATGTGGTACGTGTTAGCACAATAAATCAATCCATGCTTCACACCACAGCCACTAGATTCCTGTAATCAAGCCCCCCTGCCTTACAGCTACCTCAAGTAAGGATAGCACAGACAGGGCAAAAAAAAGTTACTGGAGTGATGACAAACCTGCAGGTTCACAGGTAGCCCAGATGTCTGCACTAGCATTGCAACTGTGAATTACTAATCTTATTTTACTCCACATCAGTTCAGTTCTGCTCTCCTGTCCACATAAGTTATGCTTTATCTTATCCCACCAGCCTACGTTTGAAGTCAGATTTCAGCATTCTCCTCAATTAATCAATAGGGACAGCTGCTGCAGAGGAAGGATGTGTGGAGAGGACTCTAGGTAGGATGGACTGTTGTGTTGGAGAAGATCTATAAAATCTGCTTCCTCCAGTTCTTCAGAAATGGGGAGAAGAGGCAAGGGGACTCAATGCATGCCTGTATAGAAAAAGGAAAGATGTGCTGGAATAATCTGTCTGGCAGAAATAGTCTCAACACCTGTGCTGAGGTGCCCACCGTCGTTCCTTGTGCAAAAAAGCCAAAACACTGCGTGAAAACATAGGGATCACCAAATACTGGTCTTCAAGCAATCCAATCTCTTTAAACAGATTCCACTTTGTCGAGGCTACTTAAAGCAGACAGGGCATGCTACCTGAAGATTCTTGGACAATATATTAACAAGTACATCCATGGCCAGCAGCCAAATTATCCCTTGTCCTGGCCCTAGGAACCAGTCTGCACCACATGAAGGCACAGTCCAGGGGTTCTGATCACTCAGTCTGCTGAAAAGAAAGTCAAGACTCTTCCATCCTCTTCATGCAATAGCAATTCTCTCTCATATTCAGTAGAACAGCCTGGAGACAGTCTGACTCGTGCATACAATCTGCCTAGGAAAGAAGAGCCAAACCTATGCTCACCTAGCTAGGTGAAGGCAGACTCAGAAAGGCATCAAATTCCCAGAGTCCCACTGGCTGTGTATGTGCTTTCTGTCCATCCTACTGCTCAGGATCAATCAGAGTAGTCTATCAGGTGATGAAACCCTGATAAGTAGTGCTTGGACTCTCTGCTATCTAATTCACACCAACACCACAAGCTGGGACTTGGGTCTGCTCAGACAAATCTATTCTGGTTCTCCATCCTGAGATGCATCACAACTTGGCTGAGCTACTGATTTGTTTACTGCCTTCTTCACCAAGAGAGCAATGTATGAATGTATCTGTTAAAAAGGGAGCACGGCATATTTTAAAGACAAATCTGACCAGTTGCAGGAGAAAAAAATTAGTTGTCTTCATGGATATAAGTCCAAGTGATAATGCCCAGTTCCATTTCAATGATCAGCTTTGAATGATGTCTGAGGATGCAGGTGGCTAGCCCCTCACAAGCAAAAAGATTAATAATTTTAGGTAGATAGCTTTTCCAGGATAGCATAGCAAAGATCAATGGTATCTGTTTTTTTTGGTTTTTTTTTAAGCTAGCCTCACGTTTAGCTTCTATTTGACACAAACAGGACATACCATAAACTGCTCATACAAGGTCTACTCATTTAAACGTAAAAAATTAAGACAACTAAATCTGACTGAATTTAAAATTAATTTATTTCTTTCCATGAATGCAAAACCAAAGAAATATTTGCCTAGCTTCCATGGAGATAAAAACCAAACAAAAAAACTAAAGAAAGTGAAAGAACTGCAAAAGAGCTGGAAATCACCTTGTTATAGCAAAGACATTCTAATAAAAATATCAGTGTAGAAATTAGCAGACCAAAACATGGAATGAGAAAATCTAGAAGTTGTAATATTGATCTTTGAGAAAGGCCAATAGTACACAATGATATACACAATTCCAGGGTTCAAAGATGCTGACAACAAAACTCACAAGAATTATTAGCAACTTTCTCCAATTCTTTGTAGCTCAGAGCAAAAATATATCCATCATTTCATTTAAATATTGTAAGATTTCCTGTCTCAGAAATCTAAAAAAGGCGTAAGGGAAACTGAAGCCAGTAAAATTGTAAAAGTCTGTGTTCTGGGGTTTTTTTAAGTTCAAGGGTTGGATTGATTCCCACATCAACAGAAGACATGCCTCCCTCTTTTCTAGCAAAAGAATTCTCCTCATATATTTTTGAAAGAGGATAATTTTTGGTATTAGGTATTTTTAATAAATGATACTCAAAATACCTGTTGCCAATAGGTCAATATGAATGTACAGGCATACCTCTGCTATTCTCTGGCTCATACGAATTTGGGATATTGGAATTTCAGGGAAAAGAAACAACAATTCCACTGAAATTGATGTTAAAATACCTATTTCTTTTTGAACACAACAGAAAAAGACACTCCACGTATATCTGACAAAGTATTTGATATATTCTTACTGGTTATCAGAGGATCGATATCTCTTAGTTATATAGCAGAAATCATCAAATCCCTGGAATAGGTAGTGTCATGAAATTATGAGGATCTATAGTTATTAATTTTTAAATTAAATGTAAGTTTATTAAATTTAAGTAACATGTCAATCTTGATTAAAAGCCAATCTCCCTCAGGGATAAGGACTTCCATTAGAAATATTCTTGTGCAGTGAGGAAATTACAAAGAATTTAAACAAATATAGATTGATTTTTGTGGGAGGAGAGTGCCCTTTATTCTTTACCATGAACAGTCATGCTGTGTTAAGGTGCTACCACACATAACAACAATCTTTGCCCAATTAAATTTTTTAGAGTTTCCTTTTTGATCCATTCAGGTACCTTTGTCAAAAATGATCACCACCAAATACCTACGTTCTTTTTGATCTTTGAAAAGTTTATCATACCCTTAAAATCAGGCTTTTATCAGATATAGATAACTAAGAGAAGAAATGTGTATGAGATTGCTAGAACTCCTAAGAGACTAATTTCTTTCAGCAATTCTTAAATTCTCTTTACTGTTTTTCCACATGGTTTTACATAAACCAAGTTCATTCATGTAGTGCCAATGTGGAATCCCTCTTTTTTTGAGGTATTTTTGAGCCTCAAAATAACAACTAGGAAAGCAGAGATCAAAGAAATACACATAGCACAGAAGACTTTGTCAGCTGGCTAAATCTGACCAATGGTCTATTTTTTCCAGTGTTTCAGAATCATCAGTACCATACATACACTGCTTTATTAATTTAATTTGCTATTGCTCAAAAGAGGAAAAGTATCTTGTCCCCCAAAATATTAGCCCAGACTCTCAGGTTACGTTGCCTACTATTAAAATGGCTACAGGGAATGTAAACACCTATCTAATGATGCACTGCCTTTTTATTTGCTTGCAAACTGCAAACATCAGCTACAGTAACAGTTTCAGATTTCTGACATCTGTGAACTAGAGAAAACGGAAGGATTATAGGGTAACAGTGCAATACCAGCAGTGTGAACTTTATTTACCATCTGAGTCTGCATTTTAAATGACAGGAACAATCATGCAGCAGTCAATGGCATAACAACATAAAGACCTTGGTCTTACCCTTTGTTTTCAAGTCGTTTAATACCTTTGATTCCACGGGCAGTTTATCACTCACTAGTTTTATCTCAATATTTCGGGATGCCAGTTCAAGCAATTTTTCAAAAAGACGCTGACCCTGGGAAGAACATTAAAGGAAAGGAGAAGCTTTTAGACACAGAATTGATCAAACTGCATATCAACAAATTTAAAAAACATGTTAAAACAAAAACATTATAAACCACATCTGAGTAACTATGTTCCTAGACGTGATTAAACCTACCCTAAAGATTTGCAACTCAAATTCCTTTCCTTGGAAAAAAAAATCCTTTTCTTGCTCTGAAGGCCAAATAAGGTTTCTTGCTATTCTCAGATTGTGCAGTACTGACAAGGTGACAGGTACCAGGCAGAAAAAGAAATGTCCAGGGGTTTTGTGCTGCATAAGTACATTTTGACATTAACTTTCTTCTAAAAAATCACAGTCTTGTTGACTTAGTATTAAAAGCTCAAGGAAAACAGTTTACATTTTTTTCTGTATTGAGTGATATTTTTGCAAGCAGTTCTAACCATAGCACAACATTCCCAAGTAGTTGCATGCTCACCTTTAGATGAGTTATACCAGGAAGGAAAACAATGACCTATAGGTATTTTATGTGCATTTACTTTTTATGTTGCTGTAAAATTTTACTATTTAAACCTTATTTCTAACACAGAACAAGAAAAGGAAAGTCATACTGAGCTGGATATATGTCAAAACAGAAATGAAGGTATTTGTTTCATATGAAAAATAAAATTTTAAATCACCACATTTTCCCACATCCAAGAAACAAACAAGAAGTAAAACTTCTGATTGCATTGTAAATGTTTAAATTTTAGGTTCAATATTTTTAATTAAATAAAAAAGTTTAGTAACATCCATCTAGACCACGTGAAGAATAAACTCTCCAGTGTATCACTCCTGTGTTGTTATTACAATTACAGTCAGAGCTCACCTCCTTCTTGCTATTCTAACTTAGTACTGCAGACACCACTTTCAATTAGCAGCCCAATACAGAAAGACTTTGGGCTTATGAACCTGACAAAATGCCTGCCCTACCTACACACAGTTCACTTTAGATTCAATGTAATGTTTGCTCCAAGGTAAACTCAAAACAAAAAAAGAAACAGCTATACATAAACTTTCAAACAAACATGTAGAGAAGATAAAGCTCTTCACAGAAACATGCTACATAATTCTCTGTACAAACTAAGAATCTTAAAGGATTTTTCAATTCAACAAAAATGACCAAAAAGAACAGTTTGGGATGACATAATATGATGCAGCATGGACCAACAAAACCTCAGACAAAAGCCCTCCCACACACACTGAAAACCCCTTAGCAGCAGACAATGGAAAGCCTAGAAATTATCCCTGTAAATGCCTAGACAGATTGATACTTTGAGCCTTGCTAGGCTTTAAGCATTACACAGTCACAAAAAGTAGTGCTTCCCCTGTCTAAAGCACAGACCTATTTTTCAATATTCACTTACTTTGAATATATGTGGCAAAATAAAAACACCGATCCCCCTAAATTCTCAGAATTACCAATCAGCCAGAGGCTGCAATGGAAACAGAACTACTGTTTGTTTTACTTTTGTAATGTATGCCTGCTTGCTCACTCAAATCCATAGTATAGCTCCCTGCTCATTCCAGGACTCACAAGAACTTAGCAGAGAACACAGTGCTGCCATAGTGAAGGCATTAAAGAAGAGCTAACAGAGCAGGAAAACAAAAACACTCCTTGCATGAAGTTCCAAACGCTTCTTTTACTCAGATTCAGCATTTCTCAAGGTGACTAAGTGGTTCCGTATGTAAGAAATGCCACCCATGATTTTAACCCACACACCCAAGAGCCCCGAGTTGCTGTGTAAGTCAAGGAGTGGCTTTCCCTCACATGCCTCATCAAGCTAAAAAAATATCCTTAATTCTTACACCAGAGATTGTGTTGGGTCTTTTTAAAAAGAAGAGCAGATTTTATAGAGAATGTAAGAATTAATGAGATAGGAGTGTGGACGAGATTGATGCTGCATATAGAGTTATGCAACTGCTCCAGCATGATTCTGGGGGAGCAGAGGTGCACTGACCAGTGTTCCTGAGTGCCCTGCTCCCAGGAAACCCAAGGGGGTTTCTCATGCAAGTGCTACAGTCTGGCACTGCTAGACTCTAACCAAACCTGGGAAGAGCAATTGCTGCCCTGCTGTCTGCTTAATTCCCAATCCTTGCTTTGCCCCATTCCTCAGCTACCCCAAAGCATCAGGCTCCCAGCATGTTAGAGCTCAGCCAGCCTTTGGATGTGCTTCATATGGGCTCCCTGATTGGAAACACCAGCACTTTCGGTTTTCATTAGCTACATCTTTGCAAAAGCCAGCTGGGAAATTCAAGGATTAAAAGGTTTGCATTATGCATATTAACTAATATACATATAAGTAGGAAAAGCTACTCAGGCTCTCTGGGTTGATTTAGTTTACTAGGTAGACAGAAAAACACCATTTTTGTTAAGGTTATCTGTAAAAGCTGATTTTGTCTAGAAGAACAGAAGAAAGCTCTAGCATACGGAAATAAATGGAAAATTCATTCATAAATTTGATGGAAAATGATTATCAATACAAATTAAGGCATTGACTGCTCTGATAAAGAAATGCTTAGGAAATTAATGTCTAAAACTGATAAAATGAATTGCTTCAGGTGATGGCTTCTAATTTTATTTCCCTATGGTAGCTATTTTTGGACATTATTGTCACTTCTACCTGCAGGAGACTATATTTACATATGATTTATAAAAGCTTTGATAAACAAGCCTGGAGTTTCTGTATTAATTGTAGTTTGGACAAAAAAGAACTTGGCAGCACCTCCTGAGTTTTCCTTGCTATTAGTATGCCCTGAGGTAACCAACATAGCTGTCTCCTACAGGCCATGTTGCCTGCTGAACAGCTCATCCTATGGCTTCACAGATTGCTTGGAGTGCAGCCCTGCATTCCAATGAAACCATCTCCTCTGAAAATGCATCTGTTTTCCCATCAGGGACACCACAAGCTATTCAATTATGGCTTTTTTTTTTCCCAGTTATGTTTATAAATGGTAAAACCTCAAATTGATTCAACATTTAAAGCATCTGTAAGTAGTGATGGTTAAAACCAGGAGTGCACTCACCACAAATATTTGTGTTTATACAGGTACATAAAAACCACCACCCATGACAACATTGGAAAGATTTCCCTTTGTCTCACCTGTCACTGCATCATCCCTCTGCAGGCATTCATACCCTCACCAAGGCTTAAGCTTGATGAACCAAACAATGAAATATTCACTTAATTTTAAAAACAAGTACATACTCCAGTAAATAGGGTTACTAGAAATTCTTCCCACACTGCTGGAGAACCTAGACTTCTTCCCCATTAATATTAATTTGAAACTCAGTTTCTACACTTTCTGACATGTTTACTTGCAATTTTACTGGTTTGTTCTATGAAAAGGAAAAAAGATGGGATGGAAGGTCTGAAATGTTTTGTTACTGCTGTCAGAACATTTGAAATGCTTCTATTGAATACAAACCCTTATGCTGTCATTCAGATCACATTCCCTTTGTGAGACAATACCAGGCTGCTGCACAACTACGTGACAGTGATCAGAAGCATTTCTATATACCCAGCTTGTGAGGACTGAGATATAGGAGCAGCCAAGTGCTATAAAGCTGTGGCTACCTTATAGCTATATCTGCATTTTAACAAGCAATACCACCAGAAATCTGCTTATCCTGATAAAATATTCTCTTACACTTTTCGCTGGGCTATTTGAAAATCACTTATCAAAAGTGACAAAATAGAATGTAGTATTTATCACATAAAAAAATTTACTTTCACATGGTAGCTTTAAACCATCATAAATCTCAAACATCAGTCCCAACTGTACCTGCCACAGAAAACTGGTGAATTAATAAAAACCCCAAAGTTGTCATTACCAAAAGGTAATGAAATTTCCTGCAAAGCAATTTATTGGCAGACTCTAGACAGGCTGATTGTAGACTGGCTGATTTCCCATGTCTGCTCTATCAGCATAGGTTCCTCATTAGAAATAAAATGGGAGATACAAACATGAAAATGCTGTATTTACTGAAGGACTCTCAAATTGCATTATTGTATTCATAAGTAACATAAATTCCTGCAGTTTAGAAAATTACTATATTTTTAATCCCACAGAAAAAAAATCTGGTTATTTCATAGACTTTTCTTCTGTTTTTTAATATATATTTTTACTATTTGTTTTTTAAGTTTTCCCGCAAGCACGCCTCTGGGTATATTTCTAAAACATCACTAAAAATCACAGTATGATGGCAGAAACCAATAGAGCAAATAAATCAAGAAATCCTAAATTTACAGCTGCTATTCAGTACAGAACAAAGAAACTTAAATGCTTTCCTCAATTCTTCTAACCAAACAGCTAATGCAAAGGAAGGGAATATGGTTTAATTTTAAAAACTCTCCTTTCACTGCATTTATTTTCCATGCCTCAGTCAGTACCAGGGAAACACCACCACCTGAAGAGGAGAGATGTTTATGTAAAGATGAGCTTATAGATCCAATTTCTACTGGGAACCACTAGATTTGGAGATATCCTCTTCTTTGTATTTATTTGCATTTTTAAATAATTTTCAAGGAAAGGAACTTAAGCTCTTGCACTAACGTTTGTTCTACCAAACAAATCACTGAAGCTCCTTGGTGAGCTCATGTGTGAGTGACTCAAGAATTCTCTCAGAGATTCATTACCAAGCTGGACAGCTGCCTTACATGAGACAGAGTATCAGATGGATGGGGACTTCTCCCATCAAGCCATATGGGAGATGCACAGTATGTTAGTAAATAAAATCATAAATATCTATTTTTTATGTGATACTTGTAAAAATCAGATGCAGATCTACCCTTGATCATCTTATGTTTATCCAAATATCCATCCAGGGACAACTGTGTCAGATACATGGCAATATCAATAAGCCATGATGGCATTGATTCTGATTTGAAACAAGCTGAAGTTTATGAAGGACTTGCTGGAAATCTAAAAGGTCATCCTAAATTAAAGTTTCAAAATATAACATGAGCCAGAGGAAATGAACTGTGAAATTTGTGAACTGGCATGATCTTATATTCACCTCTGTCTTTTCACTGAAAATGAATCAAAAGCCATCCTCAAAAAAAAGTTTCAATTTTCCTCTAATATCTCTAAACATAGATTACCAGAGGAAGAGTCACATTCTCACATGCCTCAATGCTGCTACATGACAACTGCCCTGCTATCTTGAAAACACACATATGACAACACAAACTTGCCAGAATATGTGGATTTTTCTGAATGAGGAAAGCAACGTAGAGAGAACTCCTTATTTTGCCAAGCAAATATTTGTTTATTTGATTGCTTTATCTGTTGAAGCACAGAAACACTGCCTCATCATGTGTCTGTCTTTAGAGAATCCAATTTACCAAAACTCATCATCTCAGATGACTGAGCGTGGCTGTTGTGACCTGGACAGCTCAGTTGGCAATGAATGTTTATTTAGATTTATAACAACAAAATACAGACAAGCGAGAGTCAAGGACACCAGGTAACACACCCACAAACAAAAATAAAGAAAAATGCAGCAGGAAGTTCTGCAGTTTTATATATGCAAATGTATACATATCTATGTATGTCCAATATATATCAGGACAATATGTATACATACAGGTTACACATATATTGGGCATATATATGTATGTGTGTATACAAAGTTGCAGAATTTCCTGCAGTATTTTTCTTCAATATATTGCCCATATGTGTGTGTACATATATGCCTGCATCTGTGTGTGTGACCACACAGGCACACATAGAGAATGCAGTTAAACCTTGTAACTAATTGAGAAAAAGAAATCTAGCCAACTCTGCTTTTCTCCTTCAAAAACCTGTGTCTGTTCAAGTGCTCTTGTGGAGAACCTTGCTCTCCAATATGACTTGAATATTCATAAAATGGAAATTGCTAATTATATAGCAGAATGTGGGTCTGTATGGAAAATGGTCTGTATGGAAATTTTCTTAGTTTCTAAAAAACAAGACTCATTCAAAGAACAACTAGAACTCACTCCCTAAGCCCTCTACTATCTGGGAGCTTTGCATCTCACCCCCTTACCTTTCATAATGCTTCTGCTATGCTGCTCAAATTTCCCCAACTCAAATTGTAAAGACTTGAGGACATTGGACTTACTCTTCAAACAATTACTAGATTAAAGTTATTGAAGCTCCTCAGAAATTTCACTTTCACTTCACTGAGAGGAGAAAGCAGCTGTAACCACACAAGTTTTCTCCCTTCCCTTTCCCAGAGTGAGCTTTGTGTACATTCTCTGGGGCAGCAATTTGCTAAGAAACACTGCCTCTTGGCAATTTTTTAGCAGTCAGACTGGCCAATAACAATATAGTGTACTAGCATGAATGGACAAGCTTGACAGAAAGATCTATCAGCTGTTCAGCCCACACTGCTGTACAAATGAGAAAATGACTGGAATATTAATTGCCTTAAAGCAGAAGTAATTACTCATTTTTGTAAGACTACTAGCAGGCAGAAAAAGATAGCTAGAATATTATGAAAAATGTTTCATTTTTCTGGCTTTTCTTTTTCCTTTCCCTGCTGAACAGTATCATATAGTTTTTACTTTGCAATGTGAATTACTTTGAATGTGGAAAAGGGACTGGATTTGATGCTTAACTACTGGAATCCCAATTTTAATTTTGCTGATTTTTTATCCTCTGGGATTTGTTAGGCTCTGGCAGTTTTGAAGCAAATGACATGCTGAATTTTTTTCAGACAAAATGTTTTTGAAAGATTCATTCACATATCAATTCATGAGCATCCTAGAAACATCTAAGGCACTATCTCTTTGAATTCATCTGCTTGAATGACAGTACATGGGTTTGAAGGTACTTTGGCAATAAATTTAAATAAAGCTTAGCTGCATAATTACATTTAAAAAATCAGTATTTTGATATTCCATAAATTTATTCACAAACCATATTCCAATATTTAGAAGAGTTCCAAAATGAAGGGTTTGCATTACATTTTCTATTCATCTGCTCACCTTATATTTTCAGTATTTTAAATAGATATGCACCAAACTTATTCTGAAGAAAAGTTTATGTATGCTGCTCAGCGAGGCTACAGTCTATTTCAAAAGAAGCAGAATATAGTTGGTTAGAATACCAAGATTTGCCTATCATCTACCAAAGGGCATTTTTTACTGCACAGCATCAACAGAACTAGAAAGAAAAGACAAGAGTTTATGCCATGGTACAATAGAGCTGACTCCTTATAGCAACCCGGCTGTCATTTTAGCCCCATTTCATGTCAGCTGAGTAGCTCCTTTCAGCAAACAATCTCTCTAGTGGAAAAGAGAAGATGCTCTCAGCCTATGCCCTCTTTGTTATCTTAGTTTCACAAGTGATGCTAAATGGAAACCTTTCCTGACCATATTTCTAAGAGGACTGCTCTCAAGAATGAATGTTAGTTGGCACAGCATCACTGTAATGCATGTCTGCCTTACTGACTATGATTTATGATTTTCATGCTGTTTTTATTGTAGAAATCTTGAACACTGCTTCCTCCCAAGTTTAATTTTGAAAAGCTATGAATCATCTGATACGATATTGTTCTTTGTAAGTGTAATTCTATCCATCTATTTGGCTGGAGAATTAATCCACATGCTTGCCTTTTTATTTCATCAGTAGCACTAAATAGAAAATAATAATATAGATTTATGAATATTCCCAAATAGGTGGATGTGCTAGTATAGATACAATTTGACAGCTTTCTTAAGGTTACACAATGACTCTTTCCTAAGATGGAAGTGCTATCAGTTTATGTTGAATGTTATCTAATCCAAGCACATCACTGCTCTCAGAAACTTCTGTTTTGGCAGGAAAATCCCCATAAGAAAATGATTTTTTAGACTACTCAAACCAATAGTTCTGCTACAGGGAAGGGTTTTAGTTCTGTAAAAGTAATAGTTTGACAACAAGAACAGACTGTTAAGGTCTCACTCTTTGGTTAGGCTAGAACATACCTGGCATGCTGATGGATGGCTGTGATTGAGGTCCCACTGGGAAGATACTATGTCAACAGACTTTTCAGCCATATTAAGCAAATTCATCCAGCCTTGGAAAAGAGACAAATGGGATGGTGCACTGTCTGAATAGTTGATCCCTTCAGGAATATTTTCCACAAGAGCAACCCTGAGAATAGATAAGGAAAAAATAACCACTTAACAAAAGCACTTTTCTTTATTAGAAGGTTCCAAATTGTAAAGAACTTCAGGTTTTGGGCCTGGGGTTCAACAACTGCTCCCAGAGGCTCTCAGCAGTCTGCCAACCTGCAACTCTCCCTGAAGCATCTGACTGTGATGCTCCACACTTCCCAGAACAATGAAGTGCAGAAGTGACCTACTGCTAATGCAGCAAAGCCAATTAAGCTTTCAAAGGTCTTCAAAATTAGCTTACACAGGGAAAAGGTTATTTCTTGCAACACAGTTAAGTGCAAATCAGTCCTTAAGGCAAGGATGGGAAGAATGAAACAATCTCCTCTTGCTTTGCCACTCTCATCTCTGAATATATTTTCTCCCTCTAAGGAATGTGGCAAGAAATACACTCCCTGGCATTCTCTTAGGTCTGCTTTTACAGCTGGCATTTTATTACATTGCTATCTCTACCTATGAATTCTCCCTTTCCAACTGCTCTAAGCTACCCAATTTTTCTGATTTTGTTTACCAGTGTAGGGATCTAACTGGGACCCAGTGGTTAAAAACGAATTATGACCTTTTAGTTTCTTGCTCTTTTTGGAAAGCTCTCTGATCTTACTTTCTACAGTATTCAAAACATTTTCAATTAGAGTACATAAATTCATATAGATACAATCACATCCAGGAAGCTGAAGAAGCATTGTAGTAAACTGTCAGCTTAAAACCTGCTCCTCTGCTCAGGGAAATGATGTGTTTCATTCAGCACACCACCTCACTGCTAAATTGCTAAATTGCAGCAGGTAAAGCTTCTTTCTACACTCATCAGAGGAATTTTAAAATTAAATAAAGTAATTCTGGCTTTAGGTAAAGAGAATAAATTTTCATATAAATGCCCCAAACATCTGCCACTTCAACTGTGAATGATACAAACCAGATGTAGGAAAGCTGTAATAGGAACTCAGAGAACACTCCTCTATTATATACAAGTACATCAAGCATTTTCACACTGTTTTTGTACTTGTCAATAGTGTTAATTATCAACTCCAGTAATATGAATATGATTTGTAAACTATAAGTAAATCATTATTACAAAATTCCAGGGTAAAAGAGAATTGTACATGTTTTGACTCGTAGAAAAACAGATTAGCACAGTATCTTCTATTAATTCAGCTCATCCTAGAGGGCTCACATGGAAACTTTTACAGCTATTTCAGAATACCAAGCATGTTTCTGAAGTGAACCCATTAAAAGACTGAAGATTGGTACTCTTAAGCAATGTTAAGAAAACCCAGCAAGAATTGTGATAAAGTAAACCCATGGTCATTATAACACTCTCAATCTCCTGGCCTGGTAAAAAATCTCACCACCCAAAACAGAACAGGCTCAGCTCCTCCTGCATGTTCTCTTTTTCCCCCAAATCTGACAAACAACGTAGGTATCATTAAGGTGCAATTACCAGTGATACTCTCCCCAACTTACTTTGTTAACACTAAACTTAGCTACATTGCAGTAATGGAGTTGGAAATCAGAAAATAAGCTGTAAAATATTAAAAACATAACTAGATTTTTTAAAGTCTTTAAAGTATATTTTACTCTAAAACATTCTACCTACCTTGGTTACAAACTTTCTGAAATAACTAGTGCTCTAAAAATTGAGTGCCTTTTAAAAAACTTTTAAAAATAAACTATTTTAGTCTAACACTCAGAGATTTAGCCTTACTTTTGCTAATAATCCTGTAACAGAACTTCATAAAACTTTGGTTAAATCACTTGAAAGCTTGGCTTGTTCTTTTTTAATAGTTAGCATTACTAAAAATATTGTAGCTCTTAGCATGCCCATGTTTTCAGAACTTTTTTATGGAGAGTTTATAATGGCCAAAGAGCAAGAAATTGAAGCTGAGAAGATAAAGTGATCTCTACAAGGACATGAAACCCCCCTCATAATCCAGTTGCAAAGATCAGAAATGAATGCACCTCTTTCTGAAACCTTTCATCCCCAACTCAATCACATCTAGATACAGGAAAGAGTTATTCTGAATATGCTTCAAAGACAATCTTAATATCAAATAATTTGAAATTATTCAAAAATAAGATAATGTCAAAAGCAGTTCTGATTTAGCTAGAATTTAGAAGTGCACATCACTCCCTTGAACAAGTAGTGACCGAAATTTCCCAACATTAGAATATTGCCTGCCATACACAGTGCTTTTTAGTGGAGCCCATGCAAATGAATTACACAGGAGCCCACAAAATAACTGATAGGACTGAATCTGTCACAGTCACTTCCAGTGGCTTTTAGTGGTGTTTCCTATAGGCTGTACTGAACTTGTGTCTCACTGGAAAGCATCAGCTTAACTTCCACTTCTGTTTCTTTCTCTGGCAAGTTGAGAGCTGCCGAAAACCTAACCCTGCCACAGAAGGGCTAAGATGATCTCCTTGTCAAAGGAGAGTCAATGCCAGGACACCATCCAGTCAGGCTTTTTGCATATCCCCAGTATCTCCAAACCTAAAACTCATCATATTTGAGGTGATGGACCTGACCCAGCCAAACACATACATACTTATTTCTGACTTCACATTATTCAGGTGTGCATTAAGCTATAATGCAGGAAGAGCTGTGGGCCATTGCTGTTCACATACATTTTGTTACAGATGCCATCAAGACATGCACAAAAGTTTGGGCTCTTGCTCATTTCTCATCAGTCAAAACCTTTAATCTTTTCAAAGAAAGTAGCAAGGAAAATTTACTGGGCAATAAGGAATTCAACTCCTCCTAAAAGGACCCTTGTCAAGGACAAGGTGCCTCTTGGCAAAGAAGTTTGTCCCGACTATTGGAATGAATTTGCTCTTCACTAGAACATCCAGCTTCTAAATCTGCATAGCATTCACCAGGCCATGGCACCAGCACTAAGTAACACACATGACTGCACAGCTCCTGCCATTGTATAGTTTGGGTTTGGGTGTCCAGTAGAAGCCAAATGCATCCCAATTAACAGAACTGTTATTCAGAACAGACACTATCTGGAAATATTTTTCCTACTCATCTGTTTTACCAAATAGCAAGTACAGGGAAGTGGTCACAACACCAAGCCTGAGTCTGAAAATGCTCTCAGGCACATGATACGATTCTTGGGATGTCCTGTGCAGGGCCAGGAGCTGGACTCAATGATCCTGATGGGGCCCTTCCAAGGCATGATAGTCTATGATTATATTTTGTGGTTTTTAGCAAAAATAAAAGAAAAAAAATAAGGAAAAGAAAAGACATTTCATCTAGCTAGGGCACTAGTTAAAACGTTGGTTTCGTAAAACGTAGATTTCCCTTCAATAATGAATTGATCCTACCATAAACTTCCAATGTTAAAACCCAACACCAAGCTCAGAAGCAATACAAAAAGCCAAGGGCCAAATTCAATTTTAAATAAAATATGTTTGACCCATTATAGGACAGTCAAGACAGAACACCAGAGTTAAAAGTGAAATGCAAAGCAGCTAAGATTGAATTTATAAAGGACTGTGAGCTCAAGATCAGTACTCAAAAGCATCTAGACTATTAGCATCTGAGAATGTATCACAAGTTCTGTAACAGTCCTCAAACACTGACAGTCTCAGCTGGTGAGGCACATGTGTGTGTGTTTGTATGTGTGCAAGTGCCTGAGTACATGCATGCTATGAAAGCTCTTTGATGGCATTTACTTCTCTGCTTTTTGAATTTTAGTCGTGAAGACCTTTATGTTCAGAGACAAAACCTTGGGATAATGAATGCTTGGCTCAATTGAATTAGATCAATTGAATTAGATCTGTGGTGAATGTGGATAAATTCAGGTTTATGATATTAAATATATTTTTCTACAGACATGCAAGGTACAGAGTTTCATTTGAACATTTCCAAGTTTGTGGTAGAGCAGACTGGAGTGATGTTTAAAATGAAAGGCTGTGCTGCCTTAAGCCAAAGAGGACACACTAGCCCTGGGTTTCTGCTCTCCATCACAGGAGCCAGTCAGTGACTCCTCACTCACACTGCTCTCGTGGGCCAGCGTGACACCAGGGCACCGTGACCTAAGAAAGGGTCCCAGCACTTTACATCACAAATGCAAGGGGCACAGATGCTTTGCTCAGTAACATGCAGCTAGAGCTGCACCTACTGCAAACATTTTGACAGATCTCCTAAACAGAGGCTGAAATTCTGTGAATACCATCTGTGACTGGAGTCAGAAGACACAGGCCTCTTCAGCCAAGTGAGTGGCTTGATCCTTTTAAGCATGCAGCTGCAGAAGGTGGCTGTGGCACAAGTGTGGGAATAAAAAGCCCTGCCAACTTCAAGTATTCACTGAAGTGCATCCTTAAGCACACCAGTTAATTCCTGTAATTAGAACTTACACCTTTCCCCTTCTATACCTGCCTCTTCTTTCCACTTAGTTTTCATTTTTTCTTACCAGTCCACAGAAGCAATTGAAGTATAATAACTATATTTAAAAACTTTAACTCCTCACCACTTAGGCCTTTTTATATTTTTTGTAATCAACGTGAAGATCACTTTGTTATTGCTGTGCCCACATAATTGTTTTTGTGCCCACTCATCACGATGTCTAGAAGATAAATACAGCATGCGGACATGCACAGCACATCCTTTAATCTTGGCAGATTTTATATCCCACATTCTCAGTTGGTACAATATAGAAAATAAGATTTTCAGTCAGCACTTATGTCAGTGGAACAATATTGTTTTTTACCAGTTAAAAATTAGACTCAATTCTCTGGGTCAAATAACTAGAAGCACTCCTGGAATACCTCTTCTTTTTGGATTGCCCCATGGATTCTTATGTATGAAAAGGACGACACCCTCCCTCTGATACCATCATCTTCAGATGAAAGTACCAATAATAAGTCCTACTGTGATGAATAACACAATACCTGTGTTGTAACACACCATAAGCACAAAAGTTTCAAAAGAAGGATCCACTATACAAACTCACTAGTCATCCAAGGTTTAAACCTGTG